TAGTGCTTCGTACCGACTGCTGCTGTGACGGTGGGTACCTGAAAACTGAATTTAAAAAAGTACCTTAACTCGGCCGCCATGGATTTTTACTTCTTAATACTTTTGACGTATTCACCCTAATAACAGAAACATTTCGTCCATATATTATGTAGAGTCTCGGTGACTTCTTCTTGTACTATTTCCTAAGAAAACTGATCTAAGATGTTGCCAAATAATTCTGACAAAAACCACGAAAAACCAATAAGGGGATGATTTTTGACAGATATCCATCATTATTTTGTTTGAAATATCGAAAAAAAATCCCACATTTTGGACTTGTCTTCTAAATTACCCCAAAATCGGGGAAAATTTTCATACCAGTTTTCCTTTTTCGTCCATATATTGTACAGAGACACGGTCCTTCTAGTGGGTCCTTAGTAAATATTACTTTTTACGAAAATCGATGCATGGTGTTGCCACCTAATTTTACAAAAAATCGCATATAACTATTAAGATGATATTTATTATAGATCTCCGTTGCTCTTATATATAGTTTGTCGAAAAAAAAATCCCACATTTTGGGTTTGCAATATTACCCAAAAAACGGGGAACATTTGTAACCTAGGTAATATTTCGAACCGAAATCTACCACGGCTCAATAAAGGTCCACTCGCTGCAGGGAAGCCAGGTAAATTTATCATCAGAGAAAAAAATACTCAAACTCGGCCGCCACCTTGGATTTTTCCTTTTTTAAATACTTTTAACTTATCCACTTTGGTGACAGAAACATTTTGTCCATACATTGTACAGATGTAAGGTGACTCCTTCTAGTAGTTCCTTAGTACTGTTTACTATGAAAATTAGTTAATACTTCACACCGAGAGTTTCCATTCCTCAATAGAAGTCAGTTCGCTGCAGGGTTGATAGGTGCCACAAAACTGAATTTACTAAAAAGACCTTAAAATTGTCATAATAAATAAAGTATCCTAATTCGGCCGCCATCTTGGATTTTTCCTTTTTAAATACTTTTAACACATACATTTTGGTGACAGAAACACTTCATATATACATTGTACAGAGCCCAGGTTGCACCTCTAGTTCCTTAATACGGTTTACTATGAAAATCGATGTATGGTGCTGCCAGTTGATTTTGACAAAAACCACCTAGGATCCTTTGGGGGATGATTTTTAGTTTTCTCCGAAATTACCCCAAAATCGGGGAAAATTTTTAGACCAGGTAAAATTTTCCACCGAGAGTTTCCATTGCTCAAGTCAACTCGCTGCAGGGTTTAATTGTACCCCAAAATTGAATTTTAAAAAGTCCCTAAAATTGTCAACATATATTAAGTACCCTAACTCGGCCGCCATCTTAGATTTTTACTTTTTAATACTTTTGACCTATTCACCCTAGTGACAGAAACATTTCGTTCATACATTGTATAGAGCCTCAGTGACTCCTTCTAGTACTATTCTCTAAGAAAACTGATGTAAGGTGTTGCCAGATAATTCTGACAAAAACCAGCTAAAATCAATAGGGGGATTGTTTTTGACAGATTTTCATCATTCTTTTGTTTGAAATGTCCAAAAAATATTTTTCCACTTTTTAGGACCTATCTCAAAAATTACCCTAAAATCGGGGAAAATTTTTATACCAGGTAATACTTTGTGTTGAGACACATCATCTCTCCATAGAAGTCGACTGGCTGTGGGGTTGGCAAGTGTCCTAAAACTACATTTAAAAATATCCCAAATTTTCTCCGAAAAGCAAAACTCCCCTATCTCTGCCGCCATTTTGGATTTTTACTTCTTAATACTTTTGACGTATTCACCCTAGTAGCAGAAACATTTCGTCCATACATTATGTAGAGCCTCGGTGACTTCTTCTTGTACTATTCCCTAAGAAAACTGTTCTGAGGTGTTGCCAGATAATTCTGACAAAAACCACCCAAATCCCTTAAGGGGATGACTTTTGACAGATTATCATCATTCTTTTGTTTGAAATGTCGAAAAAAAATTTTCCCACTTTTTAGGGCCTGTCTCAAAAAATACCCCAAAACCGGGGAAAATTTTCATACCAGGTAATACTTTGTGTCAAGAGACATCATCTCTCCATAGAAGTCGACTCGCTGCGGGGTTGCCATGTGTCCTAAAACAACATTTAAAAATGTCCCAAATTTTCTCCGAAAAGCAAAACTCCCCTATCTGTGCCGCCATCTTGGATTTCTAAAATTTCATAATTTTCCCTAGAGGCCGAGTCCTTTGGCTATCCGACGCCACACAGTGTGTTGAGCTAGCACACTCGTAGGTACCCTATCAATTTCAGTTTTTGAAGCTACATCTCAATTTCAAAATTTGTACCATGTTGTATGGGTGTTGCCAGCAAATATCGATAAAATCCACCTAAACCCCTTCGGGGGACGATTTTTGGTAGACCAACAAGACTTTTTCATTTAAAATGTCGAAAAAAATTTTTCCCACTTTATGGCACTTTTCTCCAAATTTAACCCAAAATCGGGGAAAATTTTTAGCCCTGGCAAATCTTCTTACTGAGACTTACCCATGTCAGTAGGTGGCGTTTAGCTACGGGGTTGCCATGAGCAGCAAAAACGCGATTGAAAATATCCCAAAATTTTTCCAAAAACTAAATCTCCCATAGCTTGGCCGCCATCTTGGATTTCTGAAATTTCATAATTTTCCCTAGAGGCCGGGTCTTTCAGCCTCCCAATGGCCTACAATAGGGATCGGTAGTATCCCCGCAAGTACCCTAGGAATTTCAGTTTTTGGAGAGACACCCCAATTTCTATTTTGGTCAAACCATGTATGGGTGTTGCCAGCAAATTCCAACAAAACCCACCTAAAACCTTTTAGGGGATGTTTCTCGATAGGCCTTGATGCCTCTTTTGTCAAAAATGTCGAAAAAAATTTTTCCCACTTTTTGGACCATTTCTCCCAAATTACCCCAAATTCGGGAATTCTTTTTAGCGCTGGCAATACTTCTTACCGAGACCCATCATCGCCCCATAGAAGCCGACTCGCTGCGGGGTTGCCCTGTACCTAAAAAATGACTTTGAAAATAATCCGGATTTTTAGGACCAATTTCACACGCCCCCAACTCGGCGGCCATCTTGGATTTTCCAAATTTCATAATTTTCCCTAGAGGTCGGGTCCTTCGAGTTTCCTATGCACCACAACCGGAGTCGCCAGCACCCCCGCAACTACCCTGGGAATTTCGGTTTTTGAAACTGTAGAAAATTTTCAACCAGTTTTTGGCAATTTTTTCGCCGCCATCTTGGATTTTAATTTTTTGTTTTTACGCCATATTCTGGGTCCCGCCGAGACGTGCCAAATCACTCTTTGAACGGAATCGATCCGAGCGAAACTGTAAAAGTTAGCCGCCATCTTTGTCCGCCATCTTGGATTTTCCCAAATTTCGGAATTTTCTCGTGGTCACCCTAGCCAAAGGAACATTTCCCCCATACATCGTCTCGACCCCCGGACGCTCCTTCTGGGAGAACAACTATGTCAATCAGTGAGTGAGTCACCGTAATGCAGCTTTATATATTATAGATAGATAGATAACGAATGGCCAAATATTCATTTATTAGGATCTAAGAACAGGTATATATATTTTTGTAATAGAAAATATTTTCTTTTTATACCTATCTATTATATTTTTATTATTATTTATGGGAATTTAATAAATTCACTTTACATATTTCGGATCTTTAGCATCGCGCCATGCAATGAAACTCTAAAGTGAAGAAATTCACTAACTATATTTCCGTACACATATCAATATTAACATAATGATCCTTGAAATGATCACTATGACAATATTATCAGATGTAGGTTTTTATTTACTTTACCACTGCATCATACATTTATTAAGATATATATATTAAAGGGCATCTACCACCCGAGTAGCAGTTGTGACAGGAAGCATAACATTCTCATAAAAATATATCGTTAGCTATCGTGGATATTATAGTGATAGTGGGTATCGTGGTACCACTTTAAAAATGTACAGAACACGCGTAAATTTTAAACAATTTATCACAACAACTTAATCAATAATAACTTATCAATTTATTGCACAGTATTTATTACCTGTGGAATTAACCGGGGTCTATTGTTTAACGATGGTTTTATGTAATATACGGATATAGGTACAGCAAAGGCGAGTGCGAGACCCATCATCAATGTAATGATGTAGATATCCTGTCTTGTATCTGATATGTCTGAGAAATTCGGCCTGTATGTGTAAATAAGACATGATGTGCTAATGGATGGACCAAGAAACGCACTATATTGTCTCTATGAGTCCTACGTGAAGAATGGTAATAAAGTAGATCTACATTAAATCCTTTTTTGTGGAATTCGATAGTAAGTAAGAAAGTTTGACCCTCAGACCACAGAAATATAACTTTAAAGATGTATTCCTTTTTTCCTACATGCTTACAGACATTCGTCTCTTGTTTTTACAGGTCAAGTTTTTAAATGTTGGTGTTCCACTATGTAACCTGAACGGTCTGATCCAAAATTTTAGTAGGTAATTTAGAATATATAGTATATCCAAATTCCATTATCCTAAAATTTTAGACCAAAAATACTTAGCATTCGAGTAGGTATTATGACTAATTGTTCTTAGATTATTATATTGCAGTCATCTACAAATTCAGATCAATACGAGCAACAATCAAACTCTTGAATATAAATTTGCATACATTTATATTCATGGGTACGATTATTTGAATTGATCTGGAAGATTCCTTTGCTCATTAAATATGGATTTACAAAAAAATACATATGTATTTATATCAGTTGTCAGTAGTACTTATAACACAAGCTCTGCTTAGATTGGAAATATATGGCGCTGTGTGAATTGTCTTGGGTTATTATTATGGCAGTCGTTGCATTCACACGACACGACCACATGTCGCCGACAATATTCGAATTCGTATTTTTATGTAATAATAAATAATTATTTATGGTATTGATAACGAAATCGTTGCTCTGTATATTGCCGATAAGATACTGATTATAAGTTGATTAATTATAATCTATTACAGTAAATATAACGAGATATTCATAACCGTTTAGTCTTAACGTTGGATCAGTTCAGTCGTAAACAGTTTCGTAATATTGTTAATAAAAATGATTGTATTAATAATATCCGCATTGATCCCAGCAATATTGGTGCTAGTGGCCTTTAGATTTGTGAATAAGAGAAGAAAACCGGCGATATTTGGGGTGTACCAGCTGAAAAATAAAAATTACTACTTCAAATTTGTTCTAATGTACACAATTTTAAGAATTAGGCAGGTATGTACCTACATTTTAACTAACAGATCTGAAGAGATTTATTATCAGTATTATATTCCCATCTAAATTAAATTATCTAGAATAAATAGTTTTAGATATATAGGTATTATCAAACCATATGTTTGAGGTAAAATTTATAATTTGATCCTTGGCTTAAATAATGCTCTACAGACCGATCAAAAACTAAATTCATGGAAAGATTTCATAATCATGGATGATTTTGTTGGCATTTACTCTAAATAGTTAATCCCGTTTTTGATACTGTTGTTACATTCAAATAACTTTAATCAATTCACAATTATTAGACATTTGTATGCGATATCTTGTGTAATGCTCGTTGGCTATGATATATATGAATATTATTTTAGATTCTGAATTTAAAGCAGAATATAATTATAGATTTAAAATTTTTAAGTAAACGGTGAATAAAAACAGTAATAAATAGTAGCTATGAAATATCTCGATCATTTCAACTTTCAAACAAGAGGTAATTGTACCATAAATCATTCCATTTGTTTAGACACGTTAAACTTATATTATCTACACTCCCTTTTTTTGGGGGTAATTAAAAAGTTAATTTACCACTCTAACATAATTTTATTATGTTACATCCATCCACTTACACTTGTAAAAAAATATTGTTATATTTTCGCTTCACTTCGAAAGCATACAAGAAATCTCTGACATAGGTACTAAATTACGACTGATGTTGGTATAAAATGAATAATTCAATAAACTAAGTAAATTATATTTTACACTTAAACATTACGGGAAAAATAATAATTATTATTATTTTTGAGCCTCTCTTCAAAAAGCCTCACACTCACAATTTTTTTACACTGACAAATTTTTATGCCTTATTTGGATTATACCAAGGAAATCCCAATCACACTGATATCTAGAGTCTATTTCTTATAGATATATAATCTAATTCATCATATTTATAAATAAATCGTAATTAGATAAATAATTAATCTAATTGTCAAAGAAAATAAACACATCATAAATTTACTAGCGCAGATCTCTCAATGTAACAGCGTGACTTGCAGTTACTACCACATAGCTTTAGTGGTTTACTATATTTACATACTTATACCTTATAGATCTAAATCCCAAAAGGTATTGAGATGAAAACTGCACAGAAAACTAGAAAAACTGCTTATCATTATAAATTTCTAACGCACATATAGCAAAGGTAACTCCTATAAGAAACAAAAAATAATAACTGGAACAAAGTGATAGACCCCCTGTTACGTTGTATTCAAATACCTACATATAATATACCTACCCAGCGAAATGTGAGCATGTCAAAAGTCGCATTTACCATGTCGACAATGTCGGGCTGCCGGGTAGAAGGAGACCACCCTAGCAATATACAATGTTAGGTCGAGGATGACTTGATATTAACACTTCGTTAGCACGCCTGTAAATCTCTCACGATGGGCTAACTGACCTGACCTCATGCTCGTCTTATCTTCCTCTACTAGTGATCCGACCGACCCGACCCGTTAGCGCAGGCGGGTGCACCATTTCATCATCATTACATAGTATAAAACAAAGTTGTTGTCGCTGTCTGTCCGTCCCTATGTATGCTTAAATCTTTGAAACTACGCAACGGATTTTGAAGAGATTTTTTAAATAGATAGAGTGATTCAAGAGACTCCCGGTATACCCGGGCGAAGCCGAGGCCAGTAGCTAGTACATAAAACAGTTCATAAAAAAGTACGTAACTATCACATTTGCAATTACAGTCGTGATTTTAAGGAACGATTTCGATTTATGAAACAACATAATTATTTATCATTGTTATATATCTGTTTACTTACAAAATTTTGACACATTATAATGTAATGTTTATTGATAATGTAGTATTTGACCACCTGTTCACAACTTTGATAAGAGATAGTTATTTTATGTATTTTTCGTAATGTAGGTGAATATCATACCTACTTTAATTATTTCAGCTAGTTACACATCTGAAGAGATTATTAGAAATCGAATTGGGCCGAAGTGCCGACGGCATTGCACATGTTCAACGGCAAGATACAATTTTGGAGCAACAATATTATCTTGACCATGCACAAGTAAGATTTCATAGTAATAATATTTTTATTGCAGCTTTTTACCTATAGTGTTAGTCAATTAAATCTTATGTTAAAAGGAGCAACACAAACACAATAAGCGGATATCATGCAAAAAATACTATAATTATATTATATTGACCTCGAGATCCATGTTGTATCATCTTCTATATTTTATTTTCCGTATAAAATATACTTCATAACATCTTCAGAATGCCAATTTACAATCAATGGATCGTTTCATACAAGATATGTATACTAACGTATCCTATGAGGGCGGGGGATTAGTGGTTTACCTACACCTACATGACATAGATAGAAATGTCATGGGATATAAACTAACAGATAACAAAAACATTTTTGTTTTCAGTTTTTATTTTTAACTGACTATCCGTTAAAGGAAACGCTGATATAAAATCAAACTAATTCTAGAGACTGCGGTAGACTTACGTTTGATTCAAATTCAGGTCATCCACGTTGAGATTCAGAATCGATATTGATGATCATATTTTTATTGAAACTCTTACGCCTGTATTTCCTATATTCGTTCCATACATACCTAATCTTCCGAACGTCCGTCGTCACGAATAAAGCCTATTTATTTGTCAAACAAAGTATGTACTTACCTACTAGTAATAATTATATGTAGGTATATAGAAGACAAACAATATTAACTATATTAAGTTAAACCACGGATGACAATATTAAAAAGTTAAACTGTTATATATAAACATTGTTTTTCTACAAACATAACTTATCTTTATCCACAGGCAATAGATGCGGTTTATTTCAATGGGATGTCAAAAGAAGGAGATGCACTCATTTGCGGACTAGCGCGACGACCTGGAAATGTTTGTGATGCATTTTTGTACCTAAAGGTAATGACTTTATTGTCACAAAACATGTATATTTAGTCACTTGGAGCATTGTAAAAAAAAATCATTTACCAAATGTATGTAACTGTAGTCCTTTCGTCCACTTACGCGCGAGTAACTTAATACTGTTCAAATTAATTCCGTTGAGAAAGTTGTTCAGTAGGTACGATTAGAGTCATAGTACCATTGGCATGACATTATAATTATTGATTTGAAAAACAGGTAGAAGGCCAGGAACTGTTGTTATCGCCAAATCTACCAGACACATACTTGAAACAAAAGCCTATTGAAGAAGGCGAGTATAGTGTGGAAGGTATAGAATTAAAAAACTTTGTACCTATGAGAACTTGGGAGTTAAAATACAATGGAGAAATGAAGTAAGTATTTCATATTTTCCTGCTTTGATGTATGAGACAATAATTGATTAATATTTGATAAAACGGAACTGTCGGTAAGTACATTGTATCGAATATTATAATGAATATTACGTATTAAGGCTATATCAATGATTCATTGGCCCACGAACCAGCATCAGGCTAAGTTTTTTTTTATACGGATATATTTTTTATATACGAAGATACGGCCCATCTGATGGTAAACGGTTACCGTAGTCTATGAACGTCTGAAACACCAGTGGTGTCACATGCGCATTGCCGACACTATACCTATATTAGATAGGTGACCAATTACCTCCTGGTCTAAATTTCAATCATGGTTAAATCTATATATTGAAAATAAAAAATGATCAGTTGGCTGTCATACCTCTTATCCGGTAATTTCACAGCTTAACACACTTATGTGATACTGAGGTACCCATTCAGACGATTTTTACAAATGCATAGGTACCTACTTATAATACAATTGAAAATATCTTTCTATATTTTGCAGGCCCAGGAATGACGGGGATAAGAAGACAAAAGTACAAATGACACTTACCTGGAGCGCAAAATGGGCGCCATTCAATTACGATAAGCAAATATCACCTAGATGCTTAGCCGGCAGCATAGCCAGGGAGCAATGGTCACGAGATTACTTTAATTTATTAAAAAGGTCAGCGGTCATATGATAAAATACCTATATTTTTTAAAAACAATATACCTATATTGTTTTTACGTTGCCATATAAAAATACCTATTTTATATGGCAACGTGATTAAGTAATTGGATTACAGATATTATTATACATATTTAAAAATTCGTGTTTCATGAATATTAAGTCATATAAGTATACAAAGCTAATTCCCAGTCAATCATCTAAGTGGTTCGCTAATCATATAGGTATATAGGTACCCTGATGTATATTATAAACATTTTGATAAATTACTTTATTATTCTATTAAGTATTTATTGAGAAACTGATGTGCGTAAAATTTAAATATTTATTACTAATTAAGTATGAGGTATTGTTGTATTTTTTGGAAGAGAATAATGTTTTCCTGAATAAATAAACATTACTGTAATATTTTCAGGGTTCATCAAACGCATTATGAACAAATGGGCTTCGCAAAAGGCACAGTATCCATCGATGGAAAAGAGCACGTCTTAAACATTCCATGTGTCAGAGATCATACTTTTGGTAAATTTACTTGTTTTTATAATAATCTACTTTCTCAGATAGTCAGAGGCATTGTCAGTTGTGGATGTCATGTTGACCGCACACATTCCGCTATAGTGATTAATTTAGTTTGTAACGTGGCCATTATCGGATTTAGAAATAAATTGACAAAAACTTCTTTTGTCAACATATAAGTAAGTAGACCAAATTCAATTGTTTAGGCTTGGAATTATGGAATGGTGCACCCGCTTGCGCTAATGGTTTACGTGGGGCTCCAGGGGACGATGATAAGATGAACATGAGGTCTGGTCAGTTAGTCCATTGTGACAAATTTACCGGGAATTTTTCACGATAGTTTACAGAGGGAGCCGCGTGGAGGTCAACCTGACTTGTTACATAGGTAGCGGTAGCAGTGGAGTAATTGGTTCACAACACTAATAAGTAATCCCTTCAAATTTTCTAAGTCGGTATCATAAACCACTTGGCTACGACGCTTATTTCAAAGAATAAGTCAATTTTAGGAGTTTGTCCGAGTAGAATAAAGTTTTCATGTTTCTTCTCCACCGTCATAGTTTAAAACAGTTTTTGTAAATCTTGTTAGATAATGATATACTCTAAGTAAGTATTACTTCCAATACCACAGGTCCATTCCGTGATTGGCGTACATTTCACCGATACGTGTACCATTTTATATTCCTTGAAAATGGTGACTGTGCAGCTGTCGGTAACGTGTGTCAACCAGCAGTTTTATCTAAGTAAGTTATCTATTTCGCGCGGCTATATTTATGATTCGCTGTAATAAATGGTTATTTTTATGTGACTATATACAATGGCAAAGATGGTGATGGCTCACCTGATGTAAATAAAACTAGACTAATAAACGAACAACGCTGGGGTGGTTAACCCCAGCAGAATGTCAGGGCAAAGAGCGCAATCTCAGGGCCCAGACCCAGCCCTCCGAGAGGGCCGGTGGAAGACTCAGAACTGAAAAAGTAGACTTCTATATTATATGGACAGCAGCAGCATAGACGTCATCCTGTGACTCATGCTTTGCCATTTCAGAGCACTAAGATCTCAAGCTTCCGTACCTTGTAATTTTAATGGCACTACACATATAATAGTCTGCATATATAAAATTTATCACTTCGATGGAGTTATTTTCATATATGTATATTTGCATTATTTCAGTTTAACAATTGGATATTATTGTCGTGACTCCGATCAGAAAGTATTTCCGATAGATTCATGCGACTTCCAAATATATCAACATGGAGAAGATCAAATTCTGCCTAAAGATTATGGATTTGTTTTCGAAGCTGGTATGTACTTTATTCACACCTACGTGATTGTTTAATCATTTATTGTCAACAATAAAAATTACAGAGAAAGGAGAAAAAACATGGAGCTGCCTCAGTTATTGCTAATATAAGCACAAACTCAATGAGGCACCTATACAGCGCTGGTTTTCAGGCAGCTTACATACACCTATAAAATGTATGGTGACAATTACCAAAAAATATACTATAGCCATGAACCACCAATCGTGTAGGATAATATTTTAATCATTTTATCATTATTATCGTAAGCAATTTACACATAGATATTCGATAAGAGGGCTTTATTATTGCTCAGCGCACAGCGTTTTTCTTGTGTAAAATTTTATGATTCTGTTCCTATAATTTATAAACATAAAATTCTATAGCGGTACTTATAAAATAAAATACATGTTTTTGTTATCATCATAAAGAAAACTTGTCTTTTTAGTAGGTCAGATTAATGAATCTTCATATAAAGGCCAAACAGTGGCATAAATCTCCGGACCCAGATTCCCAATTGCTCGTACTTGTTATAAAAGATAGATATATTTAAAACTATTGTTTCCACGACACATGCATTTATTTTTCTTGTAGTAACGTAAAATCTAGTAAATATAAAATAGAACTTCTTAATTGTGAAAGCTTTATAGTGTACCTTTATACCTTTTGTATGATTTTATTACCTTTTTTTCTTACTCGTAGGTTCTAAAATTTCATATATTCTTTTCAAAGGTTGGCAAAATTACGCAGTACGTGTGAAAGTAGACGACGAGGAGACTTTTTACATCGGCAAGGAGAGGGAGGCAAAGTTCTACGAACGCTGGTCCACAGTAGATATTAACGGAGTCAAAGGCCGGGCTTGTGTTGAATGGCATTACAACAATGTTCAAGCAAAGAAGACAGCTAAAAGTGCATAACAAAAGTTTCTATCCAAACTGTGTTAATAACAAAAAAAAAAACACTAACATTTGTATTTTATACCTATTAACGTATATTATGTTGTTTTTCTGAATAAGAGGAAGAAAATATGCAAATGTTCTGCATTACGATAATTTGCAACAACTACAACCTAAATTACATATACGTGATATAGGTGTATATAATATATATCTAAGTTCGGTCGGACACGGTTTATTTACCAGGCAATCCACATGGCAGTTAAATCCTTAATTCATTTAACGAATATGAATTCAGGCCATTTGACTATAGACCAAAGTATAACTGGATACATACTCATTGTAACAATTATTTCAATGATTATTATTATTATAAAAGTTCTGGAATTTTTTCTTTACCAATATAATGGAAAAAGAAAAAATTCAAGAGCTTCTATGTATTTAATATGGTTATTGTATAGTCTATAGTAATAATAATATGCAGTAACTATTGTTAATAATATTGAGAATGTAATTTTGATAATATTAAATATATGTTTGTATAGGAATGTTTGTAGGTAAATAATACACAATTACAGTGAGGAGAGTTAATAATATTTAGCATAACAACTTCATATATCTTAAACTTAGATATCTACATAGACTAGCAAATAATTTTTTTTTCTTATCTTTATTTTGTAGAATACAAAATTTGTCTTAAAAACGTCTTTTACTGTTCTTTGGTTAACAACATTTGGTTTTTATTACATTAAATTATAATTCAGCTTCTGACAGGTTAAATTGTTACATTTAATAGTATTATAGTCAGCGTTTGTTGTCTATAAACATGAATGAACTAAAGGGTTTTAAATTCTTATTGTAATTTCAGTTAGTTTTGTAATTCAGTTGTAATTTAAATCGTCATTTAAATTACTATAGTCAGCAATTTCACATTTAGTCGACTACTACTGAAGGGGTGAGAGTAACTCATCTTGAACTTATGATTAAGCCGCTCTCATCAAGAGGCTTTCTATAATAGATTCCTTGTAATTTGACATCTTATAAGGTTTTTACTCACAATGACAATACAACAATATGAAAAAGGATATACAATTTACATTTATATAGTGCTTGAACATAGTAAATAATATATTAGAACTACATTTTAAATGTATGATAATGCGATAGAATTCAAGATGTACATCAGATTTGTTCAATAATGATAATGCGAAATGTTAAAATTATTGGGTGTCAAACGTGCTCGTTATAAAATTACAGACCTATTGAATTGCATTATATTTTAAACACACGAGATTTTTGCTCTTTTATAAATCAAACAGTTATTTACTACAGTATATATATAGACACTCGTTCTCTTTCGAGTTTAGATACGTAATTATTTTACAGTTACAATTTATGGAAGACAGATTTATTTTATTTCACGCTATTGAAAAATATTCGGTGTTTTTGATCTATTTAGTTTTTATATTAGGACCGAGTAAATCCCGACTAAATTACGGTTACTATAACTATATGAATATCTAAATATAGTTCTATATTAAATAGCAATTGACAGTACATTCCGTGATGATTAGAATCATGACAAGTGATTTCCGCGGGGAACTATGGTACAGTTGTTATATGATAGAAACTATAGTTATAGTTGGATATTTTAGGTTATTCTAATTACTAAAAATATTGTTTAGTACCTATAGTTAGTTATAATTAATATAGTTCTGGTTCGCAGCTCACATTTCAAACGACAAATTGCTAAACAATGTTCCAATTAACAATTCACTTCTGTTGCAAACGCAAATTGTCAATAACTAACTTACTGCCGTAAAGTTGATATTATTAGCTCTTTTCTTAAACAAAAAAAAAAAATTAAAACCAAAAATAAACTAACTACTAGAAAATCTCTTATCATGATTGAAATATTCTACGAATTGACTCCATCCAAACATTTGCTTTATTTACGATTTGTGTTATTTACGATTATCTATATATAGCTTTTCTGCGTGGATACATTATTAAAGGTACGATATACAGTCAATTTATAACTTTAATTATAAAACTATAGTTGAAATGGCCAAAAATTAGGCATATACATCAGATTACGATTAAACGTACATTGAAATAATTCGACTGAACAATATGAAAACGTGTACAGGAGTTTAACATCAAAAGTCAACGTTTATCTTGGCCCAAAATTATTTGAATCTGCAAAAATACTTTTTGTTTTACAAATAAATTTATATTTAGTATTTTACTACACCTATGTTTCTACCATAGTTATTTAAGTTTTAAATCTATACTAATATCATTTAGAAATATAGCAACAAGTACATTCCGATTGATCGATAAAATTTAGTCGACAGTCAATGACCAATCAGAATATAAGATTTTAAAACATTACAACACATTTACACCCCTACGAGAAACACGACAAAATTGAAATACCGTTCATGTAAAAATCTAGCTTTTGTTACAAGATTGGCAGTTTTTTATAATGGTGTTAAAATAGACGGCTTAGAAGACTTGGACTGCTACAATATTTTAGTAGCCATAGACAAAACCACTACTCTATAATAAACTTTGCTACATATATGTATACAAATAAAATAACGAAACAACACTAAAAATGATATTTTAATTGATCAATTTTTTGCAGTCTGTAATTTTAATTGATACCATTTATTTAAGTACTTATATTTCAAACCTAATATTAATATAAATAAAGCCTTTGTATACTCTGTGACATATACTGAAATAGTAAATAAGTACATTTTTAGAATAATACAGGTAATTATTATTATATGATTTCAAATCAGGTATATTATAAATACATATATTATATTGAAAAATATATTACACTGATCCCAAAATTTATAGTAGACACATAAGGAAAAATTATATAAGATATACGAGTACCTATATAGAATCTAAGGCCTTTCACAAAGTAGTGTAAATAACTTGTGTAAGAAATAATAGAATGATCCGTAATGAAGTTTCACCTTATTCTTACTTGAATATGGAAATAATTATTCGGATATGTCCCACACAAGTTGCGATTTTCGTAAATTGTATAGTTTCGAAACGTTTCTAACACACAGTCTCAGTTATAGTAATAGTTAGTTACGGTTGAGTTTATTTAATATCAAGATTGCTGGAAAACGTCGTACGATATACATGCGTATACTCGGCTCTATTACGCCCTCGTTTTCGGCTCGGGCTGAAATTTCAAGTTTATAACTATAATAACGCATTTATATCGTAATATATTATTAAGTACGTAGTTATCCGATTTTGTAATAAATTATCTACAGATATTATAAACTAAGAACATAATGAAACATTAGATATAATGTTATGTGCACGACGAAGCATGTCCATCGAGGTTATAGGTAACCATCAACCATATATAGTAGTTGTATGATAATTAATTTTCTCAATATGTTCATTTTAATTGTTCAATTTTAAGTTTTCTTGTATTAATTGAAATTACTATATTGTATTTTAAGTAATTGTTTAGGCATAAATATTATATTTACCCTTATAATTAACATAATTTTTGGCGGAAACATTCGATTCAGTCTGCTATAATAATTATTGTTTTTACCATCTCTGTATTGGACTATTCTCTGTGTATGTAATGAAGAAACTATGTTAATCACAGCACTTGAATCAATTAGACATGTTCATAACATTTCAAGACGGCTAATTTAACACAGTTTTAAGGCAGGAAATATTCAATTAAGTAATACTTTGTAAACCATAAATTTATTATTATATATAATAATAAGCTATAAAGCTCGATTTTACTACAACGGCTTTAGCCATCACATCCATTAATTACTACGACTACATTGTTTCTCAAACTTATAAATGTTAAAAGAAAAAATATATTAATGTAAACTCAATCAATTGCACGTTTAAATTTTATATCGTAAATAATGTAAGGTTTTGTCACACATTTTTGTCAATCTAACAAAATGGCGACTTGCACTGTAAAGATTGAGAAACAATGTTTGACATTTAAAAAACACTCAGTGCTAAAAATCAATAATAATAATTCTTGTTAGAAAACATAATAAAAATAAATAACTAGTAACTTTTAGTTACTGAATTGCACTGCAATTTTAGTTTAATTATTTTAGAAAGACATAGTAACATAAATTACCTACAATAAACATACAATAATGTTTCACATCAATCGATTTAAATAATCGTTCAAACACTAAATAATACTTTCATTATTTTGACTAGAATTGTCTTTGCGTAAATAAATAAACTTGTCTTTTTTGTGATGAACTAAATTAATTCACATTTACAACACACTACATTATTACTATACATATTAACGCCATAAAATAAATAAAAAATAAACAAAAACTTCAAAAGTGTAAATAAATTATGAAAATATCAATACATTTCACTTTGGTTTCATTATTGTATGTTATAAAGACTGCATTATACTTTTACATTTATACTGATTATATAAACGGGAGTTTATTAACAATATTATTGTGATAGATATCCCATTTCTACCATATAATGTGTGCAAATCAAATTTCACATGACTTAAATCGTGGTCGCCTGTCCCTAGACATTTCATATATAATAAAATATATAAGAGTTTATATTATGTAACATTGGAGTTGTTTAACAACATACGCGTTTATGTATTGAAATATATATATTTTTGGTGTTCCTCGAATTAGAGCCATTCCTATTATATTATTTTATTATAAACTATTGGGAATGCATTATGTTTGTATCCTGCATATTGTTCCAATCCCACATATTAGAGTCCACAAAGAACATTGAAATAAAAATTACCTCTTTTATACATAATCTATAAAAATGTTTCTTGTACAAATATCATAGAAATTTACTTATTGTTTCTATCAATCATCTATTTCATGAATTATAAGCTATTATTAAGAGTTACTTATATGAATTTTGTAATCCATCTGTAATATCACCGAATAAGTTTGACCAATGTAGAACAATACCCCGTTTCTACCAAAGACAGGATCAATAGATATATACGGGAATACTTCCAGTATTCATTCTAGTGTTTATTGGAACAAAAAAAAAATAGAGTTGTATGAAACAAATATTCTACAATAGTAGTAGATAACATTTAAAACATATAATATTGGTGGAAACGAGGCTTTGATTCAATAGAATACTATTTTGAGAATTATTGTAGAGTGCATACCGCGGAGGTGCCTGGGGCGTGGTCGAGGAGGGCGCGTCGACGTTTGATCCCTTCAAGATACACCTCCCGATTGAACAAGCCCGCTGCCAATGGTACCCTAAACAACAATGAGTGTATTTAGTAATATACAACCGTCTAATAATAATATAATTTGCATATATAAAACAAAGTATCAACAGCAAGTATTTGAGTTTGTGTATAAATGTATTTATTAAGGTTCTTGCTTTTGAATATGTAGGATAGAACATAGTCTAGTTTTAGGTTCTTGTTACGTATACAGAGATTACTCACTAGACCTATACATAATATAATTTTAGCAGTTTTAGCACCAATTTAAATAAAAGATGTTCTGAGTGTGAGGGTATGTTATATTGGGCCCTATTCTCCGCACATAGCCTCTTTTGGGCCTTTCTGCCTGGAGTAAAATACAAATATATACCATAGAGTATATAGTCGATTCCAATATGTATATATATAATATATGTATATGTTTTTTTAGTCCATAAAAGATTTTCCTGTGTTAGTCCTGTAGTTCTTGACTTAGTCAAGTTTGAACTCAATAATATTAATACTATGTATATTGTAAATATGTAAGAGTTATAGTTACGCCTTTTAAAATAGATACTTACACATCAGTGCCCGGTCTTAGCGCCGCAGAGAACAGCGCCCAGACGGGTTTATGATCGCTGGTACACACCGACTGCACCGAGTTATACGCCATACACTTCAGACCCGATGCCGCTGGCACGCTGCTGATTCTACGCAAGCCTACAAACAATAAAACAGTTCCATTTCATATATATATATATATACGTAAGTTATTATTTAGGTACGTAGACATGACACTTGGTCCGCAAAAATGGTAGCAGAGGAGGGGTATGATGGTCACAGGATAACGAGTGTCCGTGGTATTGGTTGTGTATAGGCGATGCTTGACATTTCATCATGTGGGCTATCAGCTTTATTGAGATACCAAAATGCAATTACATTATTAATTACCCGAAAAAGCAGATGATGAATTCCCCGTCATACTTTTAGCTTTATACAAAATTCTGTCCGTATACGCCGGCGCTCTCTGTTTGCTTGAAGTATCAAATTGTTGGCTACCTGGATCATACTGTGAAGAAAGAAATTTATAACTTGCTATTAAAATTATATAACTAAGCTGATATCGGAAAGTCGTCAACAAACATATTTTTAGAAGCTATCAGATTTCACATTTATTATATGTTTTCCTATTATAATTGACTTTATTTAATGAACATTAATCATCAATGCTCCTATATTTTCGGGATATTTATTTGCACTGCACTTGTCCTCTACGTTCTATTTAGCGAGGTTCTATATTGCTAAATAATGAAGAACTCAATTAAAGAAGAAAGCGTAGGTCATCTTATCAAGATTTGGTCATAAATCGAAGCGATTTAAAAAAAAACCTTTGACTCGATTTTAATTAACACGATTACCCTACTAATTGTGACATAATTTAAGATTTTTATAGTCCACTACGAGAGAAAACCTTGCATATAGCAAAGTAATTACAATAACAATACCCTTCTTCTTCTACAATTGAGTAAAAGTAAATTAATAAACTAGCTGTAAAAAGTCTTGTCGCTAGTTCAAAGTAAATTTAACTATTCAACTAATTTAATATTGTTCGCTACCGTAATCAATATTAAAGTCTACTGTATGATTCATATACGATTATCGCCATTTAAATATGACGTCACACGTACTAACCTGTCACTGTTATCAATGTTATCAAGGTGGGAAATTACTTCATTTCCCACCTTTGTAACATTGAAAAATTGTACTATAATTATATTAACACCGCATTACCGTTTACCTACATAAAAGGTTTACAAGCTGTTTCAGTTTCCTAAGTAGTGAATCAATGAAATGAATTGAATCAAAACTAGATGTGGCAAGTTTGTAATCTATAATAATCTATATTTATATATTTTAGACTATTACCTAGAATCTAAATATATTCAACTACATTGATAATATAAAAAAAACCACTAAAAGTATTTTAGCACTTCATTTTACGTTATGAAAGTAGCTGAAGAGAAAACGAAGAGTTTATAAAAAATTACGTTCATAAGCAGCTAAAATGCCCTACATGAACAAATTATTGATTGAATTTTTTTTGGATTGGATTTGACTTAATACATACTGTAATATTTACCTTATATGTAGGAGGAAAAGTAATTGGGGCCTCCTGAAATCTCTAAAAGCAGCGCCGTCCTCCAACACTGCTGTTAATTGGTCCGCGTGCAGGAGACCATGTGGTAAGTAAGGCGGGAGAGGGAACTGTCAAAATAGAAGAATATACACTTTATAATACAACAACGTCTTCACTCGGGCAGGAAGCATTTTTTATGAAAAGCGGAAAAGTAGTGGTGAAAAGCTATTAAAATTATAATTATGTAAATAAACAACTATTTACATAATTATAATTTTAATAGCTTTTAAATAGTTGTCTGTATAGTATTAGGTCTAAACAGTTTTAACTAACTTGGGTTTGCTCGATCCAGCGTAACACAGCCGCTCTTGGTTCACCCAATCTAAAATTGAGATCTCCACACCAGAACACATAGTCAAAATTACTAGTAACATCTGGAAATAATATATTAAAAACATTACAAAATTGATACATGAATAGAATAAGAAGATAAGTAAGAAATAATGTAGTTTTAAAATATTACAATTAGGATTATAAAACCAAAAATAGATTAACGTAATAAATGGCCAACAATAAATTAATTTGTTTGTCGTTACTTAATAAAAAATCATATAATCAATAAGTCAATAAGTTAACATAATTAAATCGTCTAGAATAAATATTTATTAAAAACATGATTTATGAATCTGATATATATATCTATAGCAAAAGGAAACTTATCACAAACAGAGGTGGTAAACTTTTAAAAACCCATAATTTTTAGGGATTATATCTTATGACATAGTTGTGTAATTTCCTAAAATAAAGGCAATGTTTGATAAAATTATGATGGAGATTAACTGCTTAGTTTCTGTTAGATCATGCAAAGGACTATAGCTTATCATGTTATCATGGCAACATCTTAAATTAAATACATATCTATGAATCCACAATTACTAAATGATATCCTAAAGGAGAAAGTGAGTTTGTTGTCTTGTAAAAAGATACTTTATTGTCTGTTATATCCACTGTCACATTTTCGTTTTTGAAAAGATATCCCTAAACATATATATAGAAAAGACGGTGCTAAAATTACCTTTACTCCTGTGCCTGCAGGGTAAATTCTTCGGAAGGTCAATAGATCTTATTATCCTTTTTATATCGGACACTCGTTCTTTCACTTTCTCTTGATGGGCTGTCAAATGTGCCGTTACAAACAAAAATGTAGAGCCAAATAATGCAAATGAAATGGCAACTGCACCTTTTGTGCGGAAAGCTGTGCCTGGTCGCACAGAAAGACTGGCATCTTCTGGTAATGAACAGAACCAAATTAGGTCTCTCCTTATAAAAATAGTTAGGTGGATTGTACCTAAAACAAAGTAATGGATGAACTTGATTCTGAACTAATGAAAATTTCAATTAACAATATAAAATACTGTTTGTCTTTGTATGTAGTGATATTGATTTTAGGGATTATAAAGTAAATAAAAACTACTAATGTTTTAATTTAATATGAGACAAATTGTAAACTGATTTTTTTTATATTATCTTGTACTCGAACTTATCTTAGTAATATAAAATAATAATATTAATTAGGTTAAGAACCAAATTAGGTCTCTCCTTATAAAAATAGTTAGGTGTATTGTACCTAAAACAAAGTAATGGATGAACTTGATTCTGAACTAATGAAAATTTCAATTAACAATATAAAATACTGTTTGTCTTTGTATGTAGTGATATTGATTTTAGGGATTATAAAGTAAATAAAAACTACTAATGTTTTAATTTAAAATGAGACAAATTGTAAAATGATTTTTTTTATATTATCTTGTACTCGAACTTATATTAGTAATATAAAATAATAATATTAATTAGGTTAGGTATAATGAGGTTGAATTGTTTAATGAAAATTAAATTTACTTCATATTTAGTTTACTGATAACTCTCAAATTTGAAGTATATAATAATAAATATTTCTAAAAATAAATACTCACCAAGGTAATATGAATGTAGCAATAAATGAGAAGGTCCCAAAACTTCTTGGATTGTAATTTCCCACTCTGTTCTCTCAGAGAATGATTCCTGTGTACCAATAGCAAATATGTCCGGTACATGTTTCACTTGGTTTGGAAATATGAAATCTGCCAACTCCCTGGAAAAATAAGAATTGAATAGGAAGTCAGAATTTAGTGATAATACTCATAAAACTAAAACATATAATCAACAATAATCATAATATCAATTTTAAAAATATTTGCTATTTAATTCATAAACACCTACTTTTTTAAATTGGAATTGGAATGTTGATTTACAAAAATTCAACATTATATCTTTATACTATACCAGAAATAGATATTATAATATATATCATCAGTAATAAGAAAATAATAGACTAATAAGAAAGATTTTACAAAGCTATTAAATTATTTAAATTATTCACATATTGCAATCACAGCAAATTAGTCACAAAACAATAATATTGTCTTTAATTTCTGTTTAATTAGAGATAATAAATGATCTAATATGTACTTCAACTATTGATTTTATAACTCTTTAAATCTATTTACCTAGGGGGTGCTTGTCCATTCATATTCCATGTGCCAACAAATATTTTGACTTCTCTGTCTGGAAAAACATGTTCTAACTCTGCCGCTCCCAACAATGAATGAGAGGCAAGTCTGCCATAGAGATAATTCCTACAAAATGCAAAGTCACAATATATTATTATTCTATTATAGTACAAAAATAAATAGCCTATGAAACATTTGTGTATCAGTATCATATATATAGTAGATAAATAATGAGTACAGCTGTAGAAGTAATTTAATATCCAATTTTTAAAGATTATGTGTTACTAATAAAAAAATCACCTTTCTCTTGCTTCCTGTGTTGGTATGAGGCGTAATACTTGTGCAGCCAATAAAGAGTTTCTTGCCAGACTATCAGTACTCCCAGCACGAGAAGTTGATCTAGTTATTGTAGATTTGGTTCTATTACAAACATAGATAACAAAAATGTAATTGTGAGCTGCATGAATTTTATTATTTAGTCATAGAACAGGGAATATAAATACTAAACTACAATAAACCAATAGTGTCAGGGCCTCTATCTCCATAAGAAGACAACAATTGGTGAGCAATATAAAGGTGTAATTATTTATATTGCCCTCCTATTGAATGTATATTACTGTTGAATGTACTTAGTACAAAATATTTTTATATAATCTGATATTATATAGTGGTAATGTATAAGAGATTAAATATTCAGTATATTCTCTGGTACTGATCCTAGTCATATATTATGCTACAACCAGATGCAGATGCAGAGCTGCAATGAAAAACATGCTATATTTTTTTTATTATCAAGCCCTACATAATGTTCATAATGATAACAACCTATTATCATTCTTCATTAGGGCTATTTTATCATGAAGACTTACCTTCTTTTACGGTCCAGGGAACTGCTTCTGTCGCTTTCAGGAGATGATGAACGATAAAAAGGTTTTGATTCATTAGATATTAAATGATCAGCTGATAGTCTTTTAACAAATAACTTATTTTTTGGTTTGATGCCTTCAAATGAACCAGAGTGTTCAAAATATTTTTTTACATCATCACTTTTTGGAAATTTCACAGTCACTTTCGGTATTTCTTCAGATTTTGTTTGACTACAAGACATGGTCTGATCACTTAAACTGTTACTAGAATTATTCACTGGACTACATGGTTTTGAATAAGATTCTTCTTTAGAGGATTGACCTTCAACCAGACTTCTTGGACGTGACTTTCGGAAGAAGGTGCGACAGCATTTAGGATTGTTTTCGTCTTCATTTTGTGTAGTATTTAACTTGTGACTTGAACTATTGCCAATTTGTTCCGCAACTGAATTGCGTTGGGAATCCGCATGTTCACCGCTCAACTCCGCGTTATAAGCACTTTGGGCTAGGAAAGGATCAGCAGGAGAAATTGGTCTCGACGTAGGCTGGTTAAATTCGTCATTGGAATCAGTATCAACATAGCAGCCGACTTTTGGTGATTTCTTAACAAACAGTCGCTTCCGCAATGACAATTTTTGTTTGGTTCTAACGGGGGATGTTGTCATTGTTAATTTCGAAATAAGAGACCCTATAATTTATGTTATAATTACATTTTTAATAAATAAAGGAAACATAACCTACTACTACGTCTTGAAATGACATTTTGAAATGAATTGAAGAAACTGAACTGTTAAGAACTTCAGATATATTAAATTCTACTCTGTGATGCTGTCAAATATTTGAATATTTTTTTGGGTTGTCTACCTGCCTTTCCTTATTGCCTTAAGATGTCCTTCACATTCTTCATTCTGACTTCGCTCAATATATTATCTTTAAAATTTTAATTTCTACTACATTTCGCACTAATTTATACACGTCCAATAGCGTAGTTTCCTACGTGCGTTATAACAAATGGATAGCGCTGTGGTATAACATCGCAAAATGTTTGTTTTAGTCTACTAATAGGGTAACTATGACGACTCCCTCAGTCTCCATTTTCTACATGAAATATTAACGTAACGAATGTTCATTAGTGTTTAATGCTTTTTACAGTTGTCTCGTAACGTGGACATAGTCTTTAATTTTCAAAAGAGTAAAAGACACTTCATTGTCTATGATTACTCTAATAAAAAATATGGAGTACCGTCGCGCAAAGATATGCAATTTATTTAAATAAATAACGTGACCTTAAAAAATAACTTAATAATAGATATATCTAAATATATACAAAATAATGATTTTAATTACCTAGGTACTTACTTATCTTGTTTTTATAACTGATACTCAGTAGCGACTAGGGGGTGGCGAACTGGGCAATATAACAGGAGCCTTGCGTAACAACCAAACAAAATTTTAAACAACTGGAGAGTGACATTTTGCCTAGGGGTAAGTTGCATACACTTCCCGCTTTAGGTATTTAATCGAATGAATAAAATTACTAACACTATAATATTCAAATAAAAAAAAAAACTAATAAAAAAAATAATTAAGACACAGTTTCCTTGAATCAGCGGAAATTTCCGCAAAATCATTAGCATCACATATTTTTCACGTAGGTACAAAGAGCCTCGCAAAGCTTGGAGCCACGCAAAGAGTAAGACCGCCGCTGGTCACACTGACACTATAAATTTTCCCGCACAAAACGAGACGTATGCCTAACGTGACCAGACGTCCCGTTTTAAACGGGACTGTCCCTTTTTATAACAACAAGTCCCGGTGTCCCCGAAATTAACTCTGGGACGCAAAATTGTCCCGTTTTTGGAAACTCGGTGAAAATATGTTTAGTCGAGCGGGTCGGTTGTGATGTAGATTATTGTTGATAATTAAGGTGAATATAAAAAAACGTGCCATTTTTATATTGTCTTGTAGACAAGCAATTAAAGTTTTTAAATTATTTTTACCCTTAAAGTTTTAAATTCACAAAGAAGTATCATATATCATTTTAAAAGTATTTAGATAATGATTAAGACGGCGTGGTTAATTTAATTACTTATATAAAAGGTGGCAATTCTAGCTTCTAATTTTGAAAAATGTCATTTTTCTATTTAATCGACGATACGTCCTCTCCTCTAGGTTGTCTGTAAGAGACTGCATATAGCGTGAAGACTGCCTATTGTAATTACTTTTCTATTTACTGTATTTTCTTATTGTTTATTTTGTGTACACAATAAAGAGTTAATTATTATTATTCTTTTATATATGTTACATCTCCCTTTTTACGGGGGTAATACTTTTTTTTAAAGAATTAGCTTTAATAAATTGTTTCCTTTATTGACTGTCTATTAATTGATATAAATAAATGTCCCGTTTTGAGTCAAAGAATAAATGGTCACGTTACGTATGCCCCATGCTACTCTATGGCATTATAAATGAATAGAATAGTGCACTAACTAATTGCTAGCGGGGAATCAATAGAAGATGATGATGTTTACCGCCGCACTCAGAGAATGGTTACTGAAGCAGTTCCTTGATGTAGATATAAAAAATCTCCTACTCAAGGGTTCCTTAGTAATAGATAAAGTTAGGTGAATTTATAGTACCTATATTCATAATTAATTCTGCATGTTAATTACGAATAGACACTGTGTCCCAGGAGGACCGTGTGTAAATTGAGCTGACAAAGTTAGCCAAACCTGCAAAACAACTCTTCCCCTGTGTATTGTAGTTTCCGGATTTCTGATTTGTATATTTATTATATTTTATGAATGTTGTAAGCATACCTGGGCATTAACTCGTTAATCCGTTAATCGTTAATTAACGAAGTTAACATTTTGAGTAACGGATTAACTTTTAAAAATGTTAACGGACATGTTAACTTCCGTTAATATGCAGAAGTCCGTTAATCGTTAATCCAATGTCTACTATTTACCGTAGATATGGAAACGTGACGGGGCGCGAAAATCAGGCTCAATAACAAAAAATCTCCAACTCTTTAAAGAGTAAAACGCAAAATCTCAATAAAATGTGGCTGGATATAAAATCAAAAGACTCAATAAAAAGAGGAACATATACTCATAAATATAGATTTATGAGTATCTGTTCCTCTTTTTAGCGCTTGAGAGTAAAGCAGTATTGTATTTAATGAATAGTCATTAAATACAATACTGCTTTACTCTCAAGCGCTGCAGTTGAACGTCTGTTTTCACACACTTTTCAATTTTCACAGGTAAAGACATTTTAACACTATAACGCGCCTTGCTTTCAGACGAGAACTTCAACATGTTAATGTTCATAAACTTAAGTTATACCTGTATTTTGTTTTGTTCCTAACCTTTTAACTTCCAGGACCTAAACCAGCAGGTTTTATAAATTCACTAACACAGCGATATAAAAATGCAATATTACACATTTTACGTTAACTTGCGTTAATTCTTCTGAAAGGTAACGCTTTAACGTTTAACGAAGCTAACTTTTTTTAGCGGATTAACAATTAATGAAGTTAACTATTTGATTAACGGTGCCCAGCTCTGGTTGTTAGTAGATGTAAGGTATGGAAGCTGTTAAAGAATAAAATCAAGAAAATTACGTGATATTATATTAAACAAACATAGTAATAAACAAAGATATAATGACAGTAAATAGGTAAATTTTTAAATTAGTAGCATTTCCGCGTCCAATTCCTGGAACGACCAGATTCAGTCCCGTGTATTCTGGTCTAGGGGACAGCTGACCCCCAACAATAGATTGGATTCCATTGCCTATCGAAAAAAAATTATTATATAGTATACCTAAGTAGTTATGTTGTCTAATAGTATTTCTATATTATAAGTATATTATTATAGCTAGATATTGTATTGTTAACTAAATGGTATATATGTATACCATAATAATGGTATACATATATCTTAGGTAGTTGTTTGAAAATTATAATTGAAACATAAAATAATATGTCGTAGATGCTATAGTTATGCTTTCATAAATATTTTGTTTTGTATTTCATTAAATTTCTAATCATTCATATAGATAGCAGTGCATTTAAGTTCGTTATTTAGGTACGCATGTTATTTTTTTTAGATCATTTTTATCCCTACCTGGACAGTACGTCTATTAGATTAGGTACATTTTCAGAAAAAATGAAAATTCACAGGTTGTACAAACGACTTTGTTTGAAATTTTGTTTTTTTGTTTGAAATCGTTTGAAATTTTTGGCGTCGTGTAAGTCCGTCGTGTAATTCCAAGTCCACGTCGATTTACTTATTACTTTTTGAATAAATTAATGACACTTACCGATATTACATAAGTCGTGGTTACATGCTCTATAGTAAGTTCTAAAAGTGGAGTCAATAGTATCGTGGTTAAGATACTCTGGCGACGCTTCACAATCTCGTCTGAAACTTGCCACTACTCCGATAGGATCCTAAAAACGAGTATAATAAATAATAGTATAATATTAATAATAATAGTATGTTAGTGTTTATTATTTTAGTTATGACGACCTCGGTGGTCTTGAGGGTTACCACACCGCTTGACTTCCTATGGTCGCGGGTTCAATTCCCCGCACGGTACAAACATTTGTATTAATTCATAGTGATATATGTATATTTCCGATAAAAAAACTATATATTACATCACTTGTTGTTGAATAACCATAACATAAGCTCTGCTTAGCTTGGGACTAGATAGGTCCTGAAAAATTACTGCATTATATTATTATGTACTAGTAGTACCTAAATGGGGCGTGGGGCGCGGCGACTGCAAATATGGCGACTTTTGAAAATGATCAAATGGAAATTTAATCCCGTTTTAGAGTTTTCGCTATCAAGTTAAACGTGAATATGAATAAAACCAAATATAAGTTAATGCTAACGATTTCTGTTCATACTTGATGATATTATAAATATGATGTTTATTTGATTAAATTTACAAGATTTATGTGCAATAAAATAAATATATAGATATGTTTAATAGAGCGGACAACATTTGATAAAACCATCACATTTATATTTGGTATCAATTCGATTTCAAATCGGTAATTTTCATCAGAAATCAGATTGCAGTTTTCGTTTCATTTTTCATTTCATCGAGTATCGACAAATCATACTTACTACATACTCTTGCCTGAAGATGGTACAAAATGGATTGCTACATTCTACTGAGTTTGTTTGTTCGGTTATGGTCAAACAAGACTGTTCAGATTCCGTTGACGAATAACTGCATACATAACATCGAAACTGACCTGAAAATATTCGTATATTACCAGTGAGCTGTTTAAAAAATTTTGTAGTCCTTTGAAGCTGTTTTTTTTATAAATGATCGATTACTTAATTAACACTATATAGTGTTGTAATGCCTAGTAAGGACATATTTATATTTAGAAAGAGTAAAGAGTGCATATACAATCTTCCAATCTATATGTATTTGTATATGTAGGTATCTACTAAATAAATCGTTTTCAGTAGTTTATTCTATAGTAGTTAGATAACTTTATTAAAAACCGTGAGGTGACGATGTAAAAATAAATAAAGGATATACATAATGCGTCATCCACAGACAAGATATCTAGAGATTGCTTTATGCATCTGTGATGTGCATGTACTCCTACTCAAGTTAATAGTAGTTGAGTATTTCAAAGTAGGTAAATAATAAAAACAAAAAGGATTTCTAGTTCTGTAAGAAGCAGCAAGGAGTAGTAGATTTTAACTACTTGAGTTAATAAGAGGTAAATATTCCAAAGTAGGTACATAAAAGTACTATAAATGCACAAAGGTTTTGTAGTTCTAGGTTTTAAAACAGGTGGATATATAGGACCTATAGGTGTAAATTACTTAGCAAGCGATATCAATAAAATTTATATCTATGTATTTACACTTGATATTTGGCATACGAGTATAATTAACTACGTATACCGGCTCCAAAGCTGCATATATAATTACAAAGATGTTTAAAACATACCTACAGACTGTCCAATTAGAGCAAAACACAATAAAAACACTATCACATATTTCATTTTGTACAACAAACTTTTTTTGTCACGGACTGAATAACTGCATGTAATCAATATCCTTGGGTTATTGTCACTAAACAATTGATTTATAATCAATACACTTTTTAATTGGAAGAACTTATCTAATCAATGTCGGCATGACCTAAAATCAAGATATTTAAAGTATCCGATAACTATTTACGACGTAAGCCCTGACGTACTTATAAATTGAAATTGATTAAATCTAATCTAATACTATACACCAATAATTTAATAGAGTTTTTTACTTTTGAATCATCGCACTGCATTCTAGCGATATGTACTGTGTTGCATGTTCATTATTGCATATTGCAAAAATATTTTCTTTTAAATGTAGCAGCAATATTTTTCTTTAACGCCAAAAGAAAAATATTGCTGAAACATTTCAAACTTTTGTCCTGTTATTACATAATAAAAGTTTCAGCAATATTTTTCTTCAATAATCTGTTTTGTACGGTCTTCGCAATAACAGGAAAAGTTAACAAATTATATTTTTAGCAATTTAATATAAATAAATACTCAATCATTATCGTTATTTGATATCCGTATTAATATCATAAACGATTTTTTTAGTGTAAGTTTGTTACTTTTTCGCGTAAAACTACTAAACGAATTTTAATGAAATTTTATGAAATATTTATATAGAGAACCTATTTGTAACATTTGCATAACTATTTACCATCAGATACTTCTATAATATATTCTCATAAACTATAGAATTTATATATATAATTCCTAGTAGCAGGATAATCATAAAATATATTAGTTTATATAAATTACATTATATTGTAGAGCAAAGTAACTCTGTCTGCTATACCTATGTATATGTCGACTATATCGCAGAACCAATATTGATGAATTGTATTGTAAATATAGAGGGGACTTAGGAAAAGAAAATAGGTAACTCGAAGTCCAAACCAATATTAGCGGAGCTACAGTGAGAAATGTTGCAGAAACGGGGATAGTGTGACGCAGATGAATTTGTGCAGATCAGCTAGTACATAATAAATAAAACAATATATGTTATTATCATGTATGATAATGATATAAAATATATAAATTTTATTTATAAAATATCTTGCTCTTAGAGTTTATATAGGAGTTTAGCGCACATAGTGGTTCAATTAATTCAGAAACAGAATCAAAGCCAGTCTTTATCATAATTGCTATTTCACTTTATGATTAAGTATAACTTGATATCTCGATAATTATTATAAAATGGATTCTAAAGTGTTAATATACATAGTTACCGGTTTCTAAACGGCGTAAAGCTTGTAGCTGCAACAGACTGCACGGCTTCCAAAGCCGGTTAGAAAAGGTTGATTAATTCTTGTATTGGCACTTTAGGTTTCTGTAAATTAGTTCGGATTTAACTTTAATATAGATAATTGTCGAAATACTTAACAAGAAAATAGAAAAGAGAGAAAGAAGTATTTTAATATTGGAAAATTCAGTGTTTAAAAAAGAGAGAAAAGTTAGTTTTATGAATTCATTCGAAAATAGACAAAGCTGAGCCAGATCCTCAGTATTTTATGCTCTCATAGATAATGTGAATTATGATGCTCGTAATTTAATACCACTCAAGGAAGTAAATAGTCATTAAAATTGTTTATTACCAAAGGTCGAATATATCATCTTTAGTTTTATTGTCGAGAATAACCAATGCAGCTTGTATAACAGTTCCATTGAAGTTTTTCCTCCTTATTAAAATAGACTGATCTATCACATTTCTTTTAGTTAACCCAGGTTTGGTTAGCCCAGATGAAACTGTAAAATATCCACAGTCCACAGTAGTCAGTTCAATAAGTAGAGACTAGAGATTGATAAATATAATGTACACATCAGCTATACTACTTAAGTATAGCTGATGTGTACATTATATTTATCAATCTAATATAATATACTTATATTTAGGTCATTGTATTAGGTGCACCTAATTGGAAATTTAAAGCAACTATTTCTCGTCGTTCGTCGTCTTATTCGTTATACTTAAGCAATAATACTTGGGTGCCAAAGTTAAACAATTATTACAGAATTAGTGCAACTATAGGTAGACCTACTTATTTCTATTTAATTTGAAATAATCACTACCTTTGTTTTGTACGATAATGACTTCGGAATCAGGTAATATATTAAGATCATATAATTCAGGGACAATATTGATGTCGACTTGGTGGATATATAGCGTAACGTAAATAAAAATATAATCAACTACGGAAAGGTACGGTATTTTAGTATTGATTTATATGTGATTCAGGCCAGGGAATACTGGCCATTGGTACTGTATTGATTATAATTTGTTTTATACTATTAACCGTATCAAAAAACTGGGTTATTTAAAATGTCTATAAGATTTTGGTATCCCTCAGTATAAAATCTATCAAATGTAAAAATACATAAAAGAGGTCCACGGCATAGAGTTACCATACTTACACGAAATCCAACAATCTTTACTGAATCATACACTGATGTAGTATGTTATTTATCATCAGCGGAGGCTGAAATATTGCTTATAGTAAATAAAAATATGAAATATTATTACTTTGATGATTTGCAAATACAAAGAATTAATAGTAATGAGATTATAATGCGATCTTTCTCATCGCCTCCTTAACTACAAGTCACATATTCATTCTCTTCAAAGCTGTTACTGTAATTTAAAATTTTATTCGATTTAATTACAGTATAATCGGTAGTTACGACGAATAATTACAGGCCAAGTGAAACATGAACGTCTCCCTATTAATCAAAGGGGCGAAACTCGGCAAATAATTTATAGTGTTGCGAAAACCTATTTTAACGGACCGGTGCCTACAGTATTTTGTAATGAAACAATTTTTAATATAAAAAACAGCCTTGTCAATTCCCTTTAAACTTACTTAAAAATATTTTTATTATTTTATGCGAATAGTAAATGTTTTGACAAAATTAAAGGATTGCCACAGTGCTTATTGTAGGGTAATAAATTGAAACATATGTTGCATACAATTGTAAAATCTATTTAAATTAGGTATATGTGTGAGAGAAGTATTAGGTACACATCCTGTGGTCATGCGCAAAAGTTTGGGACCAAGATTTACACAAACAAAACCTGGGGTGAAATGTCCATCTTGCAATAAAACACTAATAATTAGGGGGCATGTCTTCTAATTCATATTGTTCTCTTTAATCAAGTAAAATATACTACATTGTAAGTAACACTTTAGAAACTAAAATATAATGATTATTTAATAAATGCAGTGAATATTTCATCTCCACCCGTATAACTAAATTAAAGATTGATTTTAATTTGCTGAATTATAAATACGATTATTTTTTCTTTTGTATGTTTTCTGTATTTTTTTAATGATATTTTGACGACAGTAAATACCATTCTCAATCATCATCAACCCTACTGCCATCAAAGTGCCGTATGATAGTATTAATAGTGCTGGATAACAATCGACCATGCTAACTGAAACAAAACTGGTCTCACTACCCGAACATTTAGGTCGTCTCTCATAGAGTAAACGATTTTCTCTACTTTGAAGTCCGTGTTCTTGAATGCGTTTCATTCTAAAAGTCAACAAACACAAATAAACAATTATATTCCGAATTGTTAGATACATTTAAAAAAATCAATTAGAAGCTTCGTAATAATTAGGCAATTCAATGAAAAGCGTAAATGGTTTGTTAGGTGTAGGTAGGTAGCTTAGGTAATTAGCTATTAGAAAACTGCTTATGGATACCCTATCTTGAACATTTCTTTATATGGCGTGTTTTTTCTGACGGCTAACCATGGATCTATTACTTGAAGATACTGTATTTCTTTAAGACCACATTTTTCACTTTCTTGGAAATATTTTCCAACGAATTTATACCCGACACCAGTTTCCATATGAAACGCAAATAATCCCTGTAAGACATTATTGAAAATTATTGTACATATGTAGATATACTTATAACCATAGATGGTAATACAAATACAATAAAAGATACTATATATGTATATAGAAACGGTGGTAATACACAATACGACCTGTATTCTGTATGATAGATGTAGCTACAACTCCCAGAATAATTAATTAATCCACAAAAAATATAATAATATAGGACACTAAACTAATTAAACTTTTTTTTTAAGTGAGTATTTTTTTTTAAGATATCCCAATGCATACATGTGTAAAAACGTACGTGTGTGTAGTATACAGTTATACCATTATCTGATTTCATATCTACTAAAAAATATAAAGTTGTGTAATGGCAAATGCAACGCATAATGACGTTTTGAATTCAAGTTGAAAATTTGTTATTTCGTAACATTTCCTCTGTAGTAAAAAAATACTAGAATTAAATACGTAGTTACGTACATTATTCGGTTATCTGAGAAGGGTTTGTATCGTGTTCTACGGAATCAACGAAGGACAAATTCAAACATATATTTATTATTATTTTGGAAATTAAAAAAAGAATTAAACTTCGGACTAACATTTGTAATCTACCTATCTAAACATTATTGTGAGCACAGTATAGTTTTAATTTATTGAAGATAATACCTTTCGTATATTCTTAACACCTTCCTCCATAGTCATAAACCTAGGCGGAGTACCAGGGGGAGCGACCTTTTTCTCATAAATTGCCTTTCTGACTGGCTCAGTCGCAGTCTGAAATAATCGCATACTTTTATTAAATTATTTGGTTTTCTTAAAAACCAAAAGTTTGTTTGTCAAAAATCCAAATTTGAAGGTTTTTTTATTATTATAAAATTGAACACATACATTCATTATACTTTTATTTAGATTTATGAATAGTTACGGTCTTAGCCTTAAGCCTTAATGTCTATTCTATATTTAATTGACCATCTTTTGAAACATTTATGCCATTACCATATAAAAAATCGTAAAACCACAAAATCTTACACACATTCTAACTTTGCAAACCTCAATATGATGACCTTCTAAAAATATGAACTGTGAATAAATGATGATAATTTATTTAATAATCATACCGAGAAATAATATCTGTTGAAAACGTTGTCATGAACACCAAACTTGAGTCTAGAATGTAGTAGATCATCTAGGCTATTGATTTTAGAGGAACTAGACTGCAGCAGCGCTACAATATTTGCAGAGTACGATGTGTATAAAAACATAACCGCCAGAAATAGAATCAGCAATACAATACGACCAAGAGAGCCTGCAATAAAGAATATGGGGATGAATCATAGGGACTTAAATTTTGGTCAATTAAATTTTTTTATGCATTCTTTATAGTATACACAGAGGCAGGCTGCCCAGAAAAGGTTGCATATTTTTATTCATGTCTATGCTCCTGTAGTAGGTGAGTGCCTATAACCAGTGGACGTTAGTTGCATAACAACACAATACACGTGATGACACTAATTCATGCTATGATAATAAGATCGTATCTTTAATAAGACCTTATTTTCTATTTTTGACATCGTCATATCTCATATATTAGTGTTTAATTCTGGGGCAAGTCACGCAAACAGCTATAATGAGAATACATAGATATAGCAATTGATATCGTAATATATACGAGAGACGTTGTAGAATATTATAGAGTAAAAGAAAATATATGAAAAATAAATGTAGTAGACTTTGGACAGCAATTTCAAACATCTATACTTGCTGGTACTCCCAAAATCTGATTGATGATTCAAACTTCAAAGTCGCTCATCGCTCCTGTTCTCTCTCAGTTCTGTTATTACATTATCAAAGCTAAAATAAATGTATCTCAGTCCATTACAAAAGTCCACGAATGCTTTTGTGAGAAAAACTTTCTATAAAATAGCCTGATAAGGACCCCTGCTAGTGAGAAGACGACTGGCTTCTGTCATTTCTTACGCAATAAATTGTCAATGCAATCCAGCGAGTACAACCCGACCAGCGTTCTTGGCACCATTCCCATTGGTCAAGATTTTTATAACATTAAATATTTACGATTGGTCTTTTATAGTAAATTAAATTGCTCTAAATAAATGACTACATAAAATATAAACCACAAATGAAAAATTGTCTCTAAAACCGAATGTTGTAAATAATTCTATGTTATATTGAGTTCTAGTAATAAAAAAAAATACCCACGACGCAACGTGTAAAGTGGTTTTTCCACTTCGATTAGGTGCAAACAGTTCACAGAGTTAAAGTATCTCTTACCGGTATCGTTATAGGAAAATAACGAAATTTTTGGAAATCCCATATTTGGTAAATGTACCTACCATATTCTGTAATTATATTTGACTAGCTGTTTCCAAGAGTATTAATATATGGACTATTTTATACCTTTTAATTCTACCGGACTTCCTTGCTGGCATGTTACTCCAAGAATTAGAATAACAATATCTGCGAAATTTGGCCTTAATATACCTGAATCTCTTTCTCCCTGAAAAAATTATATTTAATAATATCGTTATAAATATCATCAATATTCATAGTAGTATATTGTGATATAAGTGCGTTATAATGGTTAACACACAAGGCGAGATTACAGCCCGAACGAAAGGCGAGGGCGTAACAGAGCCGAGTGTGTTAAATACGCATATAAATACGAGTATATATAGGTACTACAACATTTTTCTAAATGAATTAAACCATAAAACTGTTATGCACTCTTACTTTCCGCCGTTTTACTTTTTTAAATCAGCGTGCTGGCTGGCGCCGTGCGAAAGTTCCAAATTTGAAAATAAATATCAAAGAGTGCGGTAATGGGATATAACATCACTATTTGCCTTTATAACGCACACGTGTTTTATGAGCTGCTTTATATAGCGAAAACTGGTGAAATTAGATCCACTTTACGAGCAAGTGTGTTGAAAACAATATATTATAACTATACTATACTGGGATGAAAATTTGCCACAGTATTTTAGCAGACGGCCTATGTAAACCCCGTAATAAAATTTTTCATAATATATATATTTAGTGGATATTGTTTAAAGACTTGGTTTTACATTTAATTAATATATTCAAAAGGTTATACTTAAGTCAAAGTTAAGTACATACATACCGATATAGAGGTATGCTTGGTTTGGTTCCATTCCCATATGGCAACTGCGAAAAGTGCTAAAAGTAATAACAGGAGTAAGGCTATACTGCTATACCAGACGGTATTACGAAACGAGAGCAGGAACAAGTTGCTTTCATATGAAAGTTTTGGTTGCTGGAAAACAAACTTTGATCTAGTTGGAGTTGGGCTGGATATGTACTCTACCACTGGTATCCGTTCTGATGTAAGAAACATTGGCGATCCTACAAAGTAAATAACTGAAGTTAAATAAACTAAATAATAAACGACTACTAACATAAATAAGTCGTTTCTATAATCAAATAGCAACTAGTAACTGAAATGCAGTTCAACTATCATCGAATCATCCATAGAAACAAAAATTTTATGATATACATAATATGATATGATATTGATATATGATTCTTCTCCATTATTTATATATGTACATGTATATACCATATACCTTACAAATGATCGACAGTATCTATAGGTAGTACGTATATAGAGACTGTAATGTTTGTTTCCGGTTTGATTAATACATTAATTTATGCTAATTATAATTATACTATACTATACTATTTAATATTAGGTATATGTATTTATATAATATCGTTGTTATAAGCAATAAAAATTAAGGATATACCTAAACGAGCATAATCGTCCTTGGACTTACCATTACAAAATAATAGTCCTACATTCACATGACGACTTTTTTTAAAATAAAGACCAGTGCAAACAGCCTAACTAAAACCTTAATCATTACAAAAATAATAATTAAAATAAATGTAGAGTTGGCCAAGACATCATGTTGTTACTACTAATAAAACTTGGTCAAACTAAGATACCTTACAATATAGAATTAAGTAGGTACCTATATGATCAATTTTTATTATTACGACTATGTAGAAATATATGTTCACAATATTCACGATTATTATACCCACAATTTACGGGATATGTTTGAATCTAACGTGGCAGGGGGTTAGCCTACCGCGCCGTCCCTCAGATAAACTTTGTTATCGGTGTCGAGTTTGTAAGAATCAGCCATAAATATAAAAAATATTGTATCAGTCGTATGGGAAATCCCGCCCTTTTTGTCTTATGTTAGTAAAACACTAAACCACGAAGCTCTCAAGTAATTATGGATAATGAATGTTAAACATCTTACCTCCAATTTCTACCTCTTCTCTGACTAAATAACCAGTCATACCATTCCATGTGCCATTCACATGGTAGCCCCAAGTGTTTACGTAGATGTATTTTCTACTGGCGTTTAGAAAATCCAGTAAATGATTCGTAGTTGGGAAATTTACTTTAGTTATTGTATCTATATGATCATTCCTAAAGAACAAAACATTTTACTTGTAAATTACGTATCTAATGATTACATTTAGACTAAAGGTGTATTTAAAGTGGATCTATTCAGGTAAGATAGTGCTTCTTAATTGCGGCGATGCTATTGACGCCATGTTGTAAAATATAGGAATAGCAAAGTGAGGCCTATATTCGTTTTTACGTGAATAGATAAAAAACGAAGTCTAAGATCTAAGTTAAGATTGAATTTAAGCTTATGTAAATTTTGTTGTGCATTCATAATTAGATTAAGAAATATAAAGATAATTATTAATTATAACTACAAAAAATAATGAACTGTAATCAACTCTAGTCATACGTATGACAATTGTAACATAATTAACTGATAAACTAAATGACTAATTTAATACGGAATAATATACATATTTCCTTACAGGGATCAGCTTGTATACTTTCTTTTACAAACTTTTTAAAGTGAAATATCATTATTAGATAATATACATTATTTTATTTACGATATTAACTTATACCTATATCTTGACTGCCATTCTGACTATGTGACATATGTAAAAGATAATATGCCGACAATTTAAAATATTCTGTATTGTACCCCAATACAAATATGTACTACTTATTTTATTCACAAAAAAATTGGATTTGTATTTAATGGACAGGAACTAATTGATATTGAATAAAAACTACCAAATCGTATGTTATCGATGGTAGTGTATGTATTTGATTTCCCCCTGACTTCCCCCCCCCCCAGGTCCCAGAACAGATATAAATTTACTCATAGTTATGAAGTTTAGAAGTTTAGTTATTACACTTCATCAGTCAAGTGATTGACACTGTCATTGTCAGTAAGAACATAGCAGATGCTTATCTCAAAACCATCCAAATTTAGTCTTCTTAGTGCAGGAGCTTCAACCATATTGTCTGCTATCTTAAAGTTGCTGTCCTTATTCCAAATACCATATGACTCAGACCGCCATATTCCTCCATTGTTTATTTTGTAAACTGAAAATTTAAATTAATTTATACTAACCATATATTCTCATTTTAAGATTGGTACATAGGTACTTTTGTACCTGGACTAAACTATAAATATAATTATATTCAATACAAGATATACATATAAGAAAAACGTTATTGGGGAACTTTAGAACCCATATAATCATTCTTAGAATTTTTGTCTTTTTGTGTGGTTTGAATGCGGTATTCACCAATGTATTGTAGTAATTTATATTTCTTTTATAGCAATTGGTTTACAAAACAAAGCTATTAATTATTAACGGCTACGAATTCGCGTTCGCTGTTACTCTCAAATATTTTTTTATGTAATTAATATGGTAAAAAGTTTGATAAGTAATAATAATAATACTCTCAGGACAATTCAAACAGCGTCATCTAGATCCAATTAAACTAACTAAAGCTGGTGTTGTGGATAATAGATAACTGATACAAATACATAGATATATATTTTTTGTGAAATACATACATATTATATACAGAAAACACCCAGATCGATACAAACAATCATACTCATGAATAAAAATGTTTGTCCCGTGCGAGGAATCAAACCCGCGACCATCGGGAGTAAGGCAGTGTGCTAAACTGCTAGACCATCGAGGCCGTCGAAGGCCGCCAAATAAGTGGAATGCCCACCTAATGGTAAGTGTTAATCACGGACTACATGAACAGCTCTACGAACAGAACAGAGAAGTGCGTTATTTTGTAACTACGAATAGCAGGGGGAAAGGCGATTGCTAGTAATGTGGACTAATAATCCAATTGCTAACAATAAACTATGTAAGGTTGATCTCCACGCGGTTCCCCCTGGAAACCATTGTGATAAATTCCACGACTTTGCCGTGATGGGATAACTGCCCTGATTTCATGCTCGTATTATCATCCTCCAATGGAGCCCCGCCAGCGTAAACCGTAATTGTTGGCGGGTGCACCATTCCATTATCATTTAAAAAAAAAATACGAACAGCACGTTAGAATGAGACGCTCGTGATATAAGTAATGTATTGCCATTCCGGAGAACTAATATGTTAACCGTTTTATCACGTTGTAACCATTGTTAACGACCATAACATATCAAATATACAATCTAAATACTCCTCACAAAGTAATCTGCTTGACGACTGAAATAGATGAGACAGTGTGTGATAACCAAGCAAACGAGTTTTTGCAACGTCAGCTTCGGTTTGCATTTTATTTCTTCTAACCAATTGTGACTTAAATGCATACTTACTTAGGTCTAATTTATAGGTGTCATTGTCTATTTTACGAATAATCGTAACTTCAGAATCAGGCAAAATATCTATTGAACCCATAATGTTAGCAATTTCATTTTTATTATTTTTTCCGTCAATTAGAAACCATCGAAAAGGTGATCCAAAATTTAAATTCATGTTCTGAAATAAGATAACGTAGTATTATTAAGTAGATACAGATTATTGATCCATAAATGTAAATTTTAGTTTGTAAACATTACAAAGATATGTAAAACAATTACATTTATATACCTGTTGAAAATATTCTGTAATATTAGGGCAATTGAGGTCCACAAAAAAGGTAGTGTACTGAGGCACCGTATTATATCTGGCAATATTATAATATTCTACAAATTGCAACATACTTAACTGATCGGTATTGTTACCTGCCAGTAATGAATACAAATTAACTTTTTTATCTGGAACAAATGACAATGATGAGTCAAAATAAACACAAGAAGTCATTCTAAATTTAAAAATTGCTTACAGACTGGCCAGCAAAGCGTAGCAATTACGGTCGAAGGCCTTTCCATTGTACGAATAATATTAGTAATCATTACTGCCTCAAAATCTATATCCGTAGTAGAAACATTTTGACAGAATAAAAATATCAAAATGATATGTACTATCATTGTGAGAACAAAATTTTAAATTGAAATAAAAAATGACGGTTATTTATTTTATAGTAACTCCTTGAAAGGACTAGGTCGTAACTTATAACAGAGTGAAGTTAGATAATAATTTATTCAAAACAGCCGGTATATTCTAGCAATTGCAAATGTTTGAAATTGCTACCCTTTCAATAAAGTCGCAAGAAATTGCTTTGTTCACTTCTTTAATAATTTATTACGTACATAGAGTCCAAGTAGTGAACAATTCAAAGATTCATTCAAGATTCAGGCAAATGAAATAGATTCTCAAGAAGTCTTAGTAATTTTATATATGTAGTAATAGTTGAATCTATTGTTGTATGACGTATACGAATAATAATTTTATTTAAGTGTAATGTCACAATACTAAAAGAAAATTAATTTAGTCGTACAAATTTAAAGCAATATTTGAAATACTAATGTACTCTACTCTAAATAATGTACCATGTTATATTTTATTGTACGAAAATGTTATATTTTATTGAACGTCTCAAAGAATAACTTACGCCGAATAAGTTATAAATTATGACACGGACACTACCTATGCGGTTTCACCCGCATGACATTTATATTTATAAGAGTAACAAACATTCATTCATCCATCCATATTCACAAATTTTATTGTTTATAATATTAGTAAGATTATTCATGTCATTAATGTAGTATTCTTGTTTATTTACAATCACCGCGGAGAAGTTTTTTTCCACGTCTATTATCAGAAAGTGCAGCGTATTATTGATTTTAAGGTGGTCATTCTATAATTATTTCCTCAGTAGATACTAAATACGCAATTTAGTAGATTATTATGTTAATGCAATTTATGACTTATGAGACCTTTTTATCTATATTATTATGTGTGACCTTAGTCGTCAGAAGCCTAATATCACTGAGAACACTACAGCAATGGATGTTCACTTATACTAGTTCTGATTTACTTTAGCTATTCAAATTCTAAAGCAATTTCTAATTGTAGTGATAAGAAAAACTATTAAATATGAGAAGTGTGAATATATATATATATTTTTTTTATATCATAATTTGAGCGCGTTTGACCGCAATCTCACCTGATGTTAAGTGATGATGTGGTCTAAGCTGTTACACGCAAGCTCAAATAATACCTATTCACTCTTGACTTAAAAGACCCAATGTTGTAAGAGGCAGGAAAAATAGACGCTGGTAGAGAGTTCCACTCCTTAGCTGCTCGCATAAGGAAAGATGATGCAAAACGGTTAGTTCGAGCAGCTGGGATGTCAATAGTGTAGGGGTGGAGCCGCTCTCTACGTCTTGTTGTACGTTGATGGAACGGTGCTGGAGGAATGAGGTTGTGCAGTTCTTGAGCACATTCGCCAAAATGGAGCCTACAGAACATCGATAGACAAGCTACTTTATTAAGACTTTGAAGCCTCTTAGCTACAAGTGATTCGTCCCCGATAAGTCTCCTTGCTCGTCTGTCGATTGAGTCTAGAGCGTCAAGTTGGTACTGAGCGGATCCATCCCATAAGTGGGAACAATACTCCATGCAAGATCGGACCTGTGCTTGGTATAGCGTTAAAAGCTGTCCAGGCGTGAAGTATCTTCTAACCCTTGAGAGGACGCCCAGTTTTTTTGATGCCATTTTAGCTCTTGATTCAATATATGCCCCGAAATTTAGGTTGGATGATATTGTTAAACCTAGAAGATCGAGATGGTCAGAAACCGGGACAGATACATTTCGAAAAGTTGGAGATAGGTTAAAGGGGTTCTTTTTAGTGGAAAAAAGACAAGCTTGGGTTTTTGTAGCATTAAATCTCATGAGATTAGCATCACCCCAGTCAGATACCGTCTGTAGCGTCTGATCTATTCGCCGAATCAAACTCTGACGTTGGGAATTCAACTCAGCCCCCCCGGCACTACTATTAAGCAGGTACCTATCTGAAATAGTACTATCGTCAGCATACCCCAGGATTCCGGGTTTAAGCACATCATTCATATATAGCAAAAATAATGTAGCGGAAAGAACGGACCCCTGAGGTACCCCGGCATTGATGTTAAAGAGAAATATGAGTAGGAAATATTGAGAACCATTTATTAATTACTAGAAATATTCAATTTTGGGGGAAGTTGAGATGCACTATTGAAAAACAAATAAAAGAAATTCACGACCTTGACGTACAATAATTTCTATGTCCTTCTAGAAAGAAGAGAGAGCGCTTAAAATAATATTTCATTGTGGTCAACTTTATATTTCAAATTTTCAAGATACTCGACGGTTGTCTTGAAACCAATAATTTGTTTCTTCTCTTAACATTATGGCCATGGCAGATCTATAACGAAAAATATAACACGCGAAATGTAACTTAAGTTTCAATTAAGTCATATTTCATTTCATATTTTTAGATAAACAGTTTTTACAATAAATATAATTTTTATATAATAGGTAGTAAAAATAGTATATTTTTAAGAATAACCCACATACGTTAAATAATTATCTGTGGTTCACACACTAATGATATTTACTCAATGTTTTATCATATTTGTAAACATAATCAATGTAGGTATAAATAAATAGTTAAGCTCAGTTGTGTACTAGAATTCATCAGAACTATCAAGATTTACATATATTTGGCTATTCTTGAAAAATAAACTCTCACACAAACTAAATAGTATTTTTCTCAGTAGTGTCAATAGTAAACAACGTGAGATGAACGTGTTTACAAACCGTGTGGATGTTAATTGTTTGGATTCTGTGTCATATAGACAACAAGGAGAATCTGCATCAGAATGGACGCCGCTACTCGGGAATTCGCCGGGAGTCACACTTTCTACTCAAGGTAGGCACATGCACTTGTATTATCTTGAATTCGAAAGCTTACTGTGAATAGCAGGCGGCGTAGTTTGTAAAAAAGTAATTGGATATCTGTACCTACTTATTAATTTTAAAGTATTATAATTGCAAAAGTTGTAGATCTAACTGATGCCAATTCATATCCCGGTTCACTTGTCTGGTTTTGTCCATTATTCTTTCGCCATTCAGGCAATCAAACTTTGGAACGACTTACCCCTTTATATAAAAACCGCCACGAGTAGATTTTCTTTCAAACGTAAATTACGGGAACATTATTTAAACTTGTAACCATTCCTGTGTCCCATTTGCTCATTGTTTTTTTTTTATAATTTTTTTTAAATTCCATTATTTGTAGCAGTACATGCTATTTATTGTCAGATTATTAAATATATATTTATGTATGGTTTATGTATGTATATATATATATATATATATATATAGTTATTTATTCATATATATTTTTATGTGTATCATTTAATATATTTATATTTGCACCGTCAACAATTATTCTCTGCGTCACCCATGGTTGACTGGTAGATAATGCCGCATGGTGTTAAGTCCGTCATATGTACTTTAAAATTATTAAAGTTTTAATAAATAAATTGTGGGTACCACGGATATCACAAAATTAGTGTCATCTGACGTACCTACGTGATTTCATGCTTTGCGAGTATACCTTTGTAAATCGGGATTTCTTTATAAAGTGTTGAGCAAAATATCCATATCTATTATTAATCTGAAAGTGTATTAACAACTAAGCGGCTGAACAGATCTTAATGAAATATGGAGTTAGATTGTATCGCGAGGACGAACATAGGTTTTTATATTTATCACAGGAAATTAGATTTATTTTGTTACCATGGTTTTGTTTGTACTCTTTAATTAGATGGTTTTCTATAAACTGAATTGTTATAACACATATCTCTCTTATAACATATAATGGATATATCGAGCTACTATGGTCGATATTTCCAACAACAGAAACTCTATATTGTACACATGTGTACACGCTAAAGTTAAGCATGTTTGGAATTACACAGAAAGCAGTGAGAACTGATTAATTCATCTGGCTTATTTTTTGTATGATACAAACACATTACTGATTAATACAGGGTTAGGTATAATTAATACTTATACAAAAGCAAATTTTAGACGCATCAGGAATTTTTTATGTGAAGTAAATAGTTCGTAACGACATCTCATACAGCCTAATTAGGAGATAATTACCTATTAGTACTTAAAGCTTTTCTTTTGTTATTCATTACGTAGGCGATGTGTAATGGTGTTAACCCATTTTGTAAAATTCCATTGTGTAACAACAAGAAAGTAAATGATAAAACTGGATCGTCATTACGCCAGAATATTAGAAATCAGATACTTCTTCATTTATTATGAATATATACCTAAGTAATAATAATAAATATATTAACCATACATCCATATTTTTTATAAAATAAAAGGCTTAGTTACAGGTACACTATTTATAACAAAATAATCGCTGAACAGACTGATATGCTCTATAATATACTCGTATTATAATAGATTTATCTTCGCCCCAAATAGCAGGATGATTTAAAACTTAAAAAAAAAAATTTTTTTAAAGTTTTAAAGTTTCTGCATAGAAAAGATGCATTGTATTAATTGAATTTGGAAGAAATAAAAAATATATACATTTTATTATTATTTTATATCTCTATAGGGTATTTATAATATGGGGCATTAATAGCTTACATTAAAATACATTAGTAAATTAAGTACAATATCGAATTTATTTTATCAAAAGTTTTTACTGAGATGGTAGGAAGTTCGGTGGGTTAGCCGTGTATTAGCGATAAGAATAATATGCTCACTTAAACTTTAAAATCGTCTTTTGAGAAAATATGCTACTTGGACCGTGTCAAACAATCCTTTTGAATGTTTTAGCAAACAATACGGTGAATATATGACAATAAAGTTTGTTCCAAATTGCTGGTGTTTTATTTATTTTACTTTTGCTTTGCCGCGGTCAATAATATGAAATAATACATAAGATGCCGTATATAATTACAAATGATTTATGCATGGTAACTGTAACTGTTTTATGTTTCATTTTCAATTATAATGTAGTAAATAGGCTAAAAACATGTTTAGAATATCTAAGTGTTTTTTTTGTCGTAAT